CTGGGGGTTTAAGGCGCCTGGAGAGAAAGCAAGAGACTGGGAGTTCTAGTTCCGCCTGGGGCATGACAGCTAGCTAGGTGACTTTGGGTCAATCATTAGGAGACGGTGAGTTCCAGTCTTGCCTTAGGCCAGCTGGAAGCCAGCTGGGTGACTTTTGGGCCGATCAGCAGGAGACTGGGAGTTCTAGTTCCACCTTAGGCATGAAAGTCAATTGTGTGACTTTGGGCCAATCCCCAGGAGACTGGGAATTCTAGTCCTGCCTTATGGATGAAAGCCAGCTGGACGGCTTTGGGTCAATCACTAGGAGATGGTGAGTTCTAGTTTTGCCTAAGGTGTGAAAACCAGCTGGGTGACTTTGGGGCCAATCAGCAGGAGACAGTGAATTCTAGCCCCACCTTAGGCAAGAAAGTCAATTGAGTGACTTTGGGGCAATCACCAGGAGACTGGGAGTTCTAGTTCCACTTAGGCAGGAAAGCCAGTTAGGGGACTTTGGGGCCAATCACCAGGAGACTGGGAGTTCTACTTCCACTTAGGCAGGAAAGCCAGTTACGGGACTTCGGGGCCAATCAGCAGGAGATTGGTGCCAAACAAATAATCCCTAACTGGATTATGAAAATGACATGAATCCGTTCATGTTTAACTTCTAATTCTCGCGCTAGAACCCGAGAAGTCATGGTGCCCAGATTTAAGCTGGAGAAGAGCTACGACTTGATCGAAAATCTGAAAGCGATGGGGATCGAGGAGCTGTTCACCTCGCGTGGCAACTACTCCGGCATCTCAGAGGAAAAAATCACCATCAACAAGGTAATGCACAGCATTGGCACAAATTAAAACTTCCAGGACGTTTTCACTTTGTGTGAGGGACAGAGGGGAAGAATTATTCTGTTCCGGGTTCATTTAGGTTTAGGTGCTGTGGTCAGAAGACGGCTAAGAGAAATGTTCTACAAATTTTGAGATTGATAGATTGATAGTTCGGGGAAAAAGGAGCATATCGGACAGCGAAAGATGGACCACAGAGAAAAGGGAGAGGACATAAAGAATAGATGGGCAGAACAAAAGCAGATTTAATAACAGGCACATTAAAAAAATTACCGGTCAGGTACACGGCTGAGCTACAGCACCCCAGATAGAACCATTTATTTATTTACCTACTTATTCGATTTTTATGCCAAATTTATTACTTTATAAACACCTCAAGGCAGTAAACATATATTGTACTCCTGCTTCCTCCTCTTTTTCCCACAACAACCCTGTGAGGGCTGAGAGAGAGGGACCGGCCCAAAGTCACCCAGCTGACTTCCATGCCTAAGGCGGAAACTAGAACTCCCAGTCTCCTGGTGATTGGCCCAAAGTCACCCACCTGGCTTCCATGCCTAAGGCGGAAACTAGAACTCCCAGTCTCCTGGTGATTGGCTCAAAGTCACCCAGCTGACTTCCATGCCTAAGGCGGAAACTAGAACTCCCAGTCTCCTGGTGATTGGCCCAAAGTCACCCAGCTGACTTCCATGCCTAAGGCGGAAACTAGAACTCCCAGTCTCCTGGTGATTGGCCCAAAGTCACCCAGCTGACTTCCATGCCTAAGGCGGAAACTAGAACTC